TTGCATGGTATACAGTAGACTCCTGCAGAGTCCCCATAGGGACCACCAAACACATCTCACAACATCTGAGGACCACCAAACACAGCATTGCACAGACATGAACCAGGGAACATGAAAGGCACAGCAGACTAATCCAACCAGAGAAGTCAGCCACAGCAGAGCACTTGATGAACCAACCTGGACACAGCATATTATTTGAGAACACAGAAATGCTGAACCACTCTCACAACCACTATGTCAGGCTACACAGAGAAGCCATTGAAATCCAGAAGCATGCGGACAATGTCAACAGAAAGGAGGAATCCATGAAAATGAACAAAATCTGGCTACCAGTACTAAAAAAACTCCAAAATCAGGACAGTAAATAAAGAACACTTAAAAATCAGGGAAATTCCAGAAAGAATGAATCAGGGACAGCTAACACCTCCCAACAAAGTATTCATCCAGGCAGGAAACAGCCAGGCTTTGATGCTGCAAGGCCATTCAATGCTAGTCAAGATGACCAATTCCAACATTTACACCTGTCTCCAACAGACAAGAGTTCTTTCTCCCACCCGGGACATTATTCCACAGGTATATTTACACCTGTCTCCAACGGACAAGAGTTCTTTCTCYCACMYGGGACATTATTCCACAGGTATATTTACACCTGTCTCCAACGGACAAGAGTTCTTTCTCCCACMCGGGACATTATTCCACAGGTATMTTTACACCTGTCTCCAACRGACAAGAGTTCTTTCTCCCACCCGGGACATTATTCCACAGGTATCTTTACACCTGTCTCCAACAGACAAGAGTTCTTTCTCCCACCCGGGACATTATTCCACACTTGCCTAGTTTCCAACAGACCTCACAACATCTGAGGGTGCCTGCTATAGATGTGGGTGAAACATCAGGAGAGAATGCTTCTGGAACATGGACATACAGCCCGGAAAACTCACAGCAACCCAATGATTCCAGCCATGAAAGCCTTCAACTCCCTTTACCATCGCATCAAATTGCGTCCTTAAGAATCCTGTTGAGGAGGAATATTATTTCGGAAGTTTTTCAAAACTTTTGGCTGGAGTATTTTGAGATTTATAGCCTTATCCTCTCTTGGGCTTCAAGCTGTTGTTGTTTTGTGGCTGAACTCCAAATGCTGGAAATCCCGAGATCACAAACTACAAAAGTATCAAACCCTGGAAAGCTTCCTGTTATTGTTCTCTCTGTTTACGTATCCTTTGCCCTGGTGTATTTATATTTATATACAAGGTGGTTTAGATAAAACCCAAATAATGCAAAAGGCAGCTTGAGAGGTCAAGTGTGCAGCGAAAGCAACGATTTGGGAAGTTGTAGCAGAGCCATAATAAAGGAAGATACTTCGAACGAAAAATAAATAGGATTTCAGAGGGTTCGTTGCAAGGAAAACAAAGTGTGCATGGCTTTTAGTTGGCACAAATGTTCATGGATTCCAGTATAGTCATATATATATATTGTAGATAGATGATAGATAGATAGATAGATAGATAGATAGATAGATAGATAGATAATCCCCATGGCCATAGAATTTTGGGATTTGTAGTTCACTAAAAAAAAAGGGAATGGATCTTTCTCAAATATTATAATATCCTCTCTAGTGTTGTTGCCCACCATGGGTTGTTTTGCCTTTGTAATCCTGGGATTTGTAGTTCAGCTAAACAGATTGCTGCTGTCTTGAATACCAAATTATCTGCTCTGTGAGGTTGTCACTTGCCATTACTTTTTGCCTTGGAATCCTGGGATTTKTAGTTCAGCTAAACAGATTGCTGYTGYCTTGAATACCAACTTATCCACTCTATAAGGTTGCCGTTTGCCATTACTTTTTGTCATGGAATCCTGGGATTTGTAGTTCAGCTAAACAGATTGCTGCTGTTTTGAGTACCAACTTAACCACTCTATAAGGTTGCCGTTTGCCATTACTTTTTGTCTTGGAATCCTGGGATTTATAGTTCAGCTAAACAGACTGCTGCTGTCTTGAATACCAAATTATCCACACTATAAGGTTGTTGTTTGCCATTACTTTTTGTCTTGGAATCCTGGGATTTGTAGTTCAGCTAAACAGACTGCTGCTGTCTTGAATACCAAATTATCCACACTATAAGGTTGCCATTTGCTATTACTTTTTGCCTTGGAATCCTGGGATTTGTAGCTCAGCTAAATTGATTGGCACGCTCTAGAATACCAAAAATATCCGCTCTGTCATGTTGCCTTCCATGGCTTTTGGCCTGGGAATCCTGGGATTTTTAGTTCAATGATTGGTGCTCTCTATAAATAATCTTTATTGAATTTTCACATTTTAAAAACCATATATTTTCACATAAATATACATATAAATACATACGACACAATCGACACATCGGACAGTTCGGACTAACAAGACTGGTTATTACACATAAGTTAAAAAAAAGGTTGACTTCCATTTTATGTCTCATCGGTTGTAATATTTGTAACTTTTAGTCTTTCCTGTTGGTGCTCTCTAGAACACCAGAAGCCTCCCCAAACTAGAAATTCCTGGATTCGATGCAGTCAAAATGGAAGGTGGATAGATTGGGTCCTCTTTGCGATCCGATTAGCACAGTGGTTCCCAACCTATTTTTGACCAGGGACCATTTGGACCAGGGATCACTCTCCAACATTAGTACCAAAAGAATTACAAATCAATTTTTGGTCAACTTTAGATTCGGTTTGGTTATTTGAGATGCTGATTCAGAAAATTGCATTGGATAGACCACATCAGCTCTAGTTTCTGATACAGAACATAGGCCATCCTGTAGTTGCCATCTGCTCGCCCACAGAAAACATATTTAATGATCCACAGCTCTTATTCTCTGCCATCATATTATCTATCTATTGATAGATTGATTGATCAGTCCATCCATGTCTACCTTTTGTTCTTCTCTGCCATCGTATCATCTTTCTGTATCTCTATATCTTTGATTCCCAGCCTTTTTTTTTTTTAACAGGGACCATTTTGACCAGGGATCACTCTCCAACATTAGTACCAAAAGGGTTACAAATCAGTTTTTGGTCTATTTTAGATTCTGGTTGGTTATTTGGGATGCTGATTCAGATAATTACATTGGATAGACTACATCAGCCCTAGTTTCTGATACAGAACATATGCCAGGAGGAAACCATGGAAATGAACAAAATCTGGCTACCAGTATTAAAAAAAACCCTCTAAAATTAAAACAGCAAAACAACAGAGAGCAAACAATCTGGGCCATCTAATCACCTCTCAACAAAAGATTGCCCCAGGTACTGCCAGGCCATCAAATGCTAATCAAGGTGGTCAGTTGAAACATTCATGCCTAGCTCCAGCAGACAAGAGTCCTTTGTCCCACCCTGGTCATTCCACAGATATATAAACCCATTTGCCTAGTTCCAACAGACCTCACTCCCTCTGAGGATGCTTGCCATAGATGCAGGCGATACGTCAGGAGAGAATCCCTCTAGAACATGGCCATACAGCCCGAAAAAAACTACAACAACCCACTGTTCTGTTCCTGGTTTGAAAATGTTATTTACTATTTAATTTTGCAGTCCTTACTTTGAAAGTAGTTGTTAGACTCCATAAACTTTGTTTTTTTTTTATGTCTGCCACAAACTGTGCTGAGACTCTGTGATGAGATATTCATTGAAAAACTAGAGCAAAATGTGCTGCAGGATGTCCTTCCCAAGTTTTGGGAGTTTGATACACTTGTTCTGTGTTTTTATGATGGAACCCATTAGGACAGTGGTTCTCAACCTTCCTAATGCCGTGACCCCTTCATGCAGTCCCTCATGTGGTGGTGACCCCCAACCATAACATTGTTTTTGTTGCTACTTCATAACAGTCATTTTACTACTGCTATAAATCATAATGTAAATATCAGATATGCAAGATGTATTTTCATTCACTGGACCAAACTGGGCACAAATACCCAATGCACCCACATGTAAATGCTAGTGGGGTTGGGGGAGGACTGATTTTGTAATTTGGGAGTTGTGGTTGCTGGGATTTATAGTTCACCTATAATCAAAGAGCATTCTGAACTCCACCAGCAATGATTTTGAACCTAATTTGCCGCACAGAACTGCCATGACCAACGGAAAACACTGGAAGGGTTTGGTGGGCATTGAGCTTGAGTTTGGGAGTTGTAGTTCACCTGTATCCAGCGAGCACTGTGGACTCATGCAATGGTGGATCTGGACCAAACTTGGCACAAATACTCAATATGCACAAACACTGGTGGAATCTGGGGAAAATAGACCTTGACTTTTGGGAATTGTAGTTGCTGGGATTTATAGTTCACTACAATCAAAGAACATTCTGAACTCCACCAACGATAGAATTGGCTCAAACTTCCCACATGGAATCCCCATAATGCGATCCAGTGCAATTAAGTTGATGTGAAGCTGGATTATGTCAGGCAAATGGGGCCTGCACTGGTTTCCAGTCTTTCGTGGCCTCGATGGGTCAGAGCAGCTGCCTTGATTTGTTTCGTCCTGGTTTTTCTGCCCACGATCCGTAAACAAGTCCCTCCCTTTGCAAAGGAAGTGACCTCTAATAAACGAAGGAAGGGCATTGGAAATAGAGGAGAGGGGGCCGCTGGCTTGCAAATGGAAAAGGGACGGAGAACATGGAGATTTTCCAAGACCAGCTTTGTGTTATAATTACAGAGTCCTATAGAAATGAGACCGCTGTGGGCTGCAAGCGCAGAGAAATCCAAGACTAACATAGCATAAAATATACACAGATTGTGTCCAAAATACTAGGGACAGTTCACTGTCCCTCAGACCAATGGAGGGCCGGA